TTATGTAAAAAGTTTTCATTAAGTTTAATAAAGATAAGAGCATGGTCTCACCTTTAACATTAAAAAAAAAAAAAAAACATATCTTTGCTCTAAAGTAAACTATGTCTCTATACTTCTAATGAATATACCAAACTACTCTAGTGAGGAACATTCTACTTCTACACCACTTCATATTTTGCCCAGTTGTTTTAGAGATCCTTGTTGCTGTGTGCTATGTTGCAAGTGGTAAATTAAAAAGGCTATTCCACTTGTAACAATATATTTAAAAAAGTTTGAAAGCTGTGTTGAAGGAGTTAAAGGCTGCATTAAGAGAATAGAAAGAATTAAAAGAGTTGAGAGCTATGTTGTGGGAGTTGAGAAATATATTGATAGAATTGAGAGTTATTTTGAGAGAGTTGAAAAATATGTTAAAAGAGTTGAAAGATATATTAGAAGCAGGAAGAAAAATTAAATATACACTTGTGTGGCCCACATATAAAATGTTTTTTGCATACAAAAAAAATATAATATTGTGTGCAAAGTATACGTAATTTTTTAATAATTATTTTAAAATAATGTGCACAATATAGTTAACCCTGTTCTGCTGCAAACTTTGTACACACTAAGTCTAAAATTTGGTATACAATATGTACTAAATTTCGACTTTGAATTTTTCTCACTAATTAGAAGAGTTAAAAAACATGTATAATCTTTGATACTATCTTGTTTATCTTAACTACAATATACTACAGTGGCTTTAACTCTAATATCTTAATCATACTAGGGGTTTAGACACTTTTGCAGTAATATAATATGTGTATAAAAAATAACTAATTAGAATTCAGAAATTTTGATCATTTTAGATTAGTTTAACATCAAAACAAAACACATGTGCAATAAAGTATCCATGATCTACAACTAGCAAGCAAGAAGAAAAAAAGAAAAAAAAACAAAAATACTTGAAAACTGGTGTTTAAATTGGCCTTTAAGTATTAACAAAAAGCAATTATATATATAATATATAAAGCTAATAACCCTAATATGAACTTTAATACCTCAGGATCATTTAGCAGAATGTTCTTATTACAAGACAATATGGCACCATATCGAAGGCACAGCAATCAATTTAGTATGGTCCAAATTTACGAAAGAAGAAAAATATCTTTGTCCAAAAAGACTTCTTCATAAGATTTTAATTGGGGTTACAGAAGTCAATAAAACTGAAAAAAGAAAGTTGTAAATTAAGGGCCTATCTACTATTAACTCTTTTGACAGAATCAAAAATCTCTTAATTTCAACAAAAAAGACTGCAGATTCAATAGAACTTATTATGCATATGATCTGGAATGGTTTTTACGACTTTATATAGAAAGACAGATGCATTAAGATCAACGAATGAGAAAAAGAGCAAAACATAAAGAAGAAGGACAAGAGAAAATTGACTGATAAAGAAAGCAGTAGATCACCAGAAAAAGGAACAAAAATAGAGTTAAAGGAAAAGAAGTATTGGTAAAGGAAAAGGAGACGAGAAAAATATAGCATGATGCTATTTTAGATTGAATACAAAAGGGTGTAAACCCCTTTTGGACAAGCTCTTAAGAAGAGCACTTTTTTTAGCTTATCCGTAAGCTAGTGTGATGGGTTGCACCTAGATACCTTGATAGACAACCAGGTGAAGTCGGGCTTTTAGTTAGTCTTAGAAATAAATATATAAAATTAAATATACTTAAAACTAAGAGGTCAAGTCACGGCAAGACCTGTCAAAGAAATAAAAAATATGAACTCTGATACAAACCCAAACCTAAACCTTAAACTAAAGCAAAAAATATACCATACCACTTGATGATCATGTTACTGCAAAAATGTTTAAACCCCTAGCAGAGCTCTAATATCTTACCTAATAAAATTTCTGTTAATATTTAATATATAATACAAATATGATAAATAAGAGCTGTGTCATTAATCACTTGATTATTTTTTATCAGAGACCTACCCCCCCTTCTCTCTCTTAATATAAAAATAGTCAGGTTTCTTATATATAATTTTAACTTTTTTTATCCCCTCCTTCTCTAAAAAATCACCTGATTTTTGTCACTCTTCTAATAGATGTCCAATATAAAATACAAGTTAATAATATAAAGCTAATAATATAAAATATAAATATAAATTATGTGCTAATCTATAAAAACCTGTTTCACAATATTTTGCTTTTTTTAAAACTTTTAGCAATAATTTCTCAATAACCATTGAACAAAATTCAATAAATTTTTTTTTATTTTAATTTCACAAATCAATATAATTAAAATAAAAAAATTTTACCAACAACAACTCTTTTTGATAATCACTTGGTCCAAATTTTTCTAAAAAAACTACTCAACAAAAACAGTAAAAACTAACCTCTCAGCTTATAAGTCGAAGAAAGAAGAAACTATAAGACAGCAACTATTGTTTAGAGATAGTTCTCATACACTACCTGCCGACAGGTCCAGAGTTTATCACTTACTGCAGAACTGGCACTTGTCGTTTAGAGGTAGTTCTTATATGCTACCTGCCGACAAGTTCAGAGTTTATCACTTACTGACAAAATTCGAGTAGTGCACTGTCTGGAGGAAGGCTGTCTTTGTTGTTTTTAGTAACTTACTCTCTTTTAAGTGGTATCAAAAGGTCTCTCTTTCGTTTTCATCTTTTGCCATTCTCACCAAAATTTTCGACAAAAAGTGGGCTTTTTGGCTTACCCCTTCAAAAGATCAGCATTGTTTATACTTACCAAATCAGAATGAACTTAGTAGAAGGCAACCATGTGCTTTGTTGTTTTGTGAATACGGTGCTACGATACGGGGAAGAGATCTACACCTCCGTTTAGGAGATACCCGAGTTGAGTTGGTGCCCAGAACGAGTTCCAAAGTTAAACTGAAGGTTTACAATCGAGATATAGTAATTAGTTGCAATTATTATATAATTTTTACTCTTATGTCTAGCATGGGCTATAATAGTGTGTCATGGCTACCTTTCTTTTTTTTCGTTTTTTTCATCTTTGTTCATTTATGTTAGACTATTTTAGAATTTGTTGAAAAGTTTTTTTTTTTCACACCGTGAGGTGTTTTTTTTTCTAAAATGTTTATATCTCTTATAAACATGGCTTTATTTTTTTTTACTTTTATGTACAAGTAAGGGTTTTAATTATGTTGTCAGGCTTAGGTGGAAGAAGTCTGAAAGAAGAGAGAGGTAGTCATGACAGGCGGCAAGGTCCACTGTTGAGAGCCGAGTCATATCCGATTGTAGGAGGGTCCAAAAGGAGGAATATCTTGCTATAGCAGGTCAAACATAGGTGCCAAATTGGTAATCGAGTTAGTCTTAACTTGTAATTTAGGTAACAATATAGGCTACAGCACTTGTCGTTTAGAGATAGTTCTCATATGCTATTTGCTGACAAGTTTAAAGTTTATCACTTACCTTCTAAATGCCTAGTTGTAAAATTTTACATATTCTAGAAAAATTGTACAAAGCCTAATAAAGCTAAGGCATAACTGCCAAATTATAAAAAAAATAAAAATAAAAAAATAAATAAATAAATAAATAAAATAATAAATAAAAAATTTTTACTGAACTTGGTCAAGTAGTTATTGAGAAATCATCACTAGAAGTTTTAAAAACTTTAGAATTTATTAATAGGATCTGCGCCACATAATCGGCATAACCACGTGCACCTTATAATATCTCAAAAACGTACTAACAGAATCGGGTACCCTAAGTAAAAATGGTCAGGACCCCAAAAACCTCATAAGAACTAAAATCGGGACCTTATATCTAATTATAAAAAAACCTTCTATTTATCTTAAAGCTGCACCATAACCCTAATCTAACTCTAACTCAGACTATATAGGTGTTATATAACAATATACTTAACATAAAAAAAGTTTTAATATTTATTAAGTTCCAGATTTCTGTCAATAATATTGTTTTATAACGCTAATTAAAAATTTTATGCTAATTAAAATATTGTATCACTTCTTATTGATCTAAATTCATTGAGTACAAAACAACTTTGTAATGATCACAAAATAATACAAGAAATCGATCTGCCAATTTTTAAAAACACCGACCAGCTTTAACTTCAGTCAATTTTTTCATCATTGGCCGGAGTCACTACTTCGGAAATTTCTTGTTCTAACTGCTCTTCAAGTTTTTCTAATTCTTCAAATAATCGAAACTCTTCAACAGTTGGAAGATGATTACCATTTGGAGGTTTAGTACCAAAAGAAATGTCGTTATTTATCGAAAGTCTGAGATCATCTAATGTTATAGGCTTCCGTGATAATCTACGCAACGTTAAATTTCTCATTGGTTCCAACAAAGGAGATGATGATACCTTTATTTAGATTATAATTGTTTAGTTATATATAATGAATATATAAGCAGGGTTGGCCGAATCATTTGGTCAGTCAAAAATTTGTAGGTCAATCAATGGTCGAAGGGTCATAGATCAGACTGGTCATATCAAATTGGTTTATATTAATTTTTTAAAAAAAAATAGCAATTTGACAAAATGACCAGCACTATATAAGACCCATAAACGTGACCAACCGATCAAATTGGTCATTTACCGGTTCACACCAGTCCTAAATAATTATGAGGCATACATTAATTTACTTACCTTACTGGGAATCAGGGATTTTCGAGGTTCCTTCTTCACATTATTTGTGCGGGGAACGCGTAAAGCACTAGTATAAAGTGACATTCTTGAATCGCAAGGCTTCTAGATTCATTTTTAAACAAATAAATAAAGTTTATATGAGAATAACAATAAATAATATAAAGTACCTTAACACGATAGGAATAAGTCATCCAAAATCGGATAAATCAGTTAAGATTCGCAGTTCCAACGATGTTTATATAATAATAACTTAATAAAGTACCTTAACACGATAAGAATAAGTCATCCGAGATCGGGACAAATCAGCCACACGATTCGCAGTTCCAACGGTTGACTTTGGTCTGAGTCCGCGTCCAAATAAAGTATGAGATCTTTTCTTGTCAGCGTCATTGGCGGTTTTGCTCGATAATATTTCTTTAAGTGATGCAGGATTCGACTTAAATTTTGCTTGGGTATCTTTATAGGCTGTAGCACATGTGCGACTCTTAGGCGCAGTATTCACCTTTGAGTTATTTCGTGGTAATGGAATGGACCTATTCGAGCTTTTTAAGCTTACAGAAGATAAAGCTCCAAGTGATGCAGGATTTGACTTAATTTTTGCTGGAGTATCTTTATGAGCTGTAGCACATGTACGACTCTTAGGCGCAGTATTCACCTTTGAGTTATTTTGTGGTAATGGAATGGACCTATTCGAGCTTTTTAAGCTTGGAAAGGCTTTATCTTTAAATAAAGCTTCAAGTGATGTAGGGTTTGACTTAAGTTTTGCTGGAGTATCTTTATGAGCTGTAGCACATGTACGACTCTTAGGCGCAGTATTCACCTTTGAGTTATTTCGTGGTAATGGAATGGACTTATTCGAGCTTTTTAAGGTTTTATCTTTAAAAGCTTCAAGTGATGCAGGGTTTGACTTAAGTTTTGCTTGAGTATCTTTATGAGCTGTAGCACGTGTACGACTCTTAGGCGCAGTATTCACTTTTGAGTTATTTCGTGGTAACGGAATGGACCTATTCGAACTTTTTAAGCTTGTGCTTGACAACGTGGCATTTGAATTTCCTTTCCATAAACTTCCCGTTCTAAGAATAAATTTTAGAGAACTTATTGTTTTACACTATAAACGATTAAAAATATCAAATGCCTCGCAGTATTCCACATGCCGAATGTATTTATTACAATACTATACCTATTTACAGGTGGCTTTAAAGCATTTCCACCAACACTATACCTATTTGCAGGTGGCTTTAAAGCACTTCCACCAGACACATAAGTGATCCTTCTTGCAGGGACACGAATCGCTGTAGGCAAATTTTCCTTTTTTGTGGGATAATTTAACATGTTTTAAATGATTATGAACGCGTATTAGTCAACTAAGTTCGACTAAGTCAAAGTTTGCGCCAAATAAAAACCAGCTGCTTCCAGCCACGTGACATAGACAATAAGTTGTTTATTTTGATCGACGAAGATAGGGTTGGGCACAATGGGGTATGACCTGTAATGACCTGTAATCTAATGACCACTGGGTCATATGGTCATATGACCAGTGGTTAGATCATTTTAGGTCATATGTTTTTATCCAATCAAATTGTGTAATTTTTTAGAGTTTTGTATAACATATAATTATAGCAATAGTAAAAACAATATACAAATACTGTATATTACTTAATCAATATATCATATGAAAGTCAGCTTTATACAGTATTTGTTTATAATATCTAAATTTATATATTAAAGAGTTTCAAAGTTAAAACAAAATCTATTTTTTTTTTTGGCAATTCTGCCTTTATTGTATAAAGGAATGTGTAATTGAAATACAAAGATTTTAAGCTACTGCCTCTAACTCTTCTTTTTCTTTAATAATAAAAGCTTACCTGGCTGCTCAAAGGTGCCCAAATGTGATCTGCTACAGCAACTCTTTTCTTCACTTTTGGCTTTCAACTTGCTAAAAGATTCCCAATTAAATTCTTGAATAGTAGTTGCTAGTCTTGTCAAAATTGCAATTACATTTTAAATTTTGGTGGTTTATAAAGGCCCAACCACTTGATTTAGAATTTGATATGATTAATTTTTTTATTTCATCCTCTACCTTTTCCCACACCTTTTTGTGTGCTTTGTTCAAAGTACTTCTTTCTTCTCTTTTTTTTTTGATTTTTCTTTTTAATACTCTTATGTGTTAAAAAACTACAAAATTTAATTTTAATTGAAATTGATAAAGTATTTATTTAAAATAAATGATTTGGCAATCTAATCTTATCTTCAGTATTACTTTTTATTTGTTTTTTTTTATATAGTATAGAGTTAATACTTTACTATGTTTTTATATTTTATATTTGGATATATGATACATATTCAGATATAATTACTATATTTTACTATAAATTTTTAACAAAATATCAATCCAGATATATTTATATCTGGATTGAAGTATTAACTCTAATATAGTATTATAAAAATTTCTAATTTTATTTTCTGATTTTAATATCTTGAAAAAACAAAAAAGATTTTTCAAACTCTAATCTTGAAACCCTATTATACAATTTTTTAAGTTTATAAAAGCTAACAAGCTTTAAAATGTAGCTATTAATTCTAATTGAGTATATAGCTGATTTAATGGCATTTAATAAATTTTGTTTAAACAGTATTTATTATTATTTTAATATTAAAGGTCATAAAGTTATATTAATTTTTATTATGACCATATAGTCATAAAGGTCATAAAGGTCATAAAGTCATTCATTACCCATCCCTGCAGGGTGTGATTTCACATTATCACATGGGTACAAGGTCGTGCAGACATTTCTTAGGTCATCCCTTACGTCATATAAATTTTGGTATGCCGTATGTTCTAATGTCTGCATCTTTAGACGTGACTACCCCAACTAGAGGTTTGATACCAATAGAGATATGAGTTGAGTTGTTTTCGGACTTTTTGGACCTAAATTTTAATTTGACCAGAATTTAGAAAAGTTTGGGCCAAAAAAATGTTCAAATTTAATAATAATTGTATTCACAAATTTGCCCAATAATGGTGTTATCCGACAATTTTTGGTAGGGAGTCACTCGCTGAGTTTTTTTTTGAATATTGGAAAAACATAATTACATCGTAACACATGAAAAAAAATAACATGAAAGAAAGTTTTTCATGATCATATGAGTTTGTCGGATAAAAAATTTTATATTAGGGATGGCAAAAATCTTGATTTAAATCAAATTTGGTAATTTAAAACATTTAATCTTTATTATGTAATCCAATTATTTATATTCAAATGCAGCGATTTTTAATCCGATCTTTTTTGCAAAGCGCAATATTAAAAGATTTAAAATAAAAATCAGTGATTTATATCATCGTGATTTAAATCACATGCCATCCCTATCAACTATTAACAAATACATTAATTGATGGCTAGTATTGGCCGATGACCTATATGACCTTTATGACTAGTCATACGTACTGTAGTTCATTTGGTCATAACGATGGTTAATATCTTTTTAATATACTTTGCAAAAATCTGTCAAAATTTAACTTGCTAAAAATAAGCAATTTAACAGTGCTGATAATGTACTATTAAAATACAAATCTAAGCACTTTATTAGCATTTTATTATCATAATTTAATTTTATAAATATATTTATCAATTATTATGCTAATAAAATGCTAATATTAGCAATATATTATCAATGTATTAGTAATATTAAAGAGCTAAAAATTACTATTATTTGGGTATTTAAAAGTGCTGATAATGAAATAATCTTGTTATAAATTATTAAAAAGGCTAACTTAGTACTAATAATGCACTTTATATTGCTTATTATTGGCAAATAATTGCATGTCTCGAAATTGTCAGATTTTTGCAAAGTAGTAAGAACTATAGTAATAAAAATTTTTATTAGCATTTATTTAATATGACCAATATGCTTATGATCAAAAAAGTCATATGATTATATGACCAAGATGATATCAAAAAAATGGTATCACTTAGGTCATTGGCCAACATTGATAGGGGCAATTTTAAAATTCAAAAAAATTTTACACCAACAATTTTATTATAAAAGAATTTATATGCACAGAACTATTTTTTGATACATTGTACATATATGTGCAAACCAATTTTAAACCCTGAATAGGGGTTCAAAATTTAACAATTAAATGACGCATTTCGAAATACTGTATAATTTTTTCAGTAGCGAAAGCATTTTTGCTACGTACGTTGAATTATAAATCGGAAAAATAAATGAGATTCTCTGATTTCAGGATTTTAATTTTTGAACCTCATATCGGTGACGTACCATTTTTACGTCCGTGACTTGAGATACATGTGTCGTAACGTTTAATATGTCAGGTGTATTAGTAATTTTACTATGATCGGTGATAGCTCATGTTATACAATATTACTAAGTAATCATTATCAAGGCAAGGGATTACCTTGAAACTTTCACAAGTTTATAAAATGTCTAAAAATAAAGCTATGCTTCAAGACTCTTTATTAATATGTAAGTTTTGGCGCTTATCTTAAATAACAAGTTCAAGTTTTAATTAGAGCTTTGTGAAAAAATCAAACATGGTTATTTTGAAATAGTTCTGACGCAGCATTTTTCAATTGAAGCATAATACTCGTGTGAATCCTTTAGAATTTTATGCTTTTCTTTATAATTAAATTATAGTAAATTCGTTCGATTAATCATTTTTAATTTTGCTGATAAAAATCTGATCATAATAAAATTACTAATATACCTGACATAGTTTTGATTACTTAGCCGATTTACCACCAGCACGTACAGTACAGTACGTACATTTCTATTTTGATACTTTACATATACCGATTTGTGAAGATTGTTTTTTTAAAATATATATATATATAATAATTGTTTTCGTGTAGTATATTATAAATGAAAACCATGGCATTACCATCCTGGCAATTCCTTCTGATTCCGATAGTGTATTCTAATGGCGTAGAAAGTGAATCGGGTTCAATTAAAAACATCTTGCACCACTTTCTAATTTTGGCCACTTTAAACTTTTATGTACTTAGAATCAACATTACGGCTATTATTCTGATATCAAAAACTTAGTTATGGCTATTACGATATGCGTCTATTACGTAAAAACACGTCACAAGTTTCGGATAGCTTGGTTTAAATTTAATTAATGCAGATAATCACCATTTTTTTGGAGGTTGTCTACAGCCAACTAACGAATTTGTAAATTAAAAATCATGTGACTTATATAAATTACTAAACCATGAAACGGAGTATTATAATCGTCGATCCGATTAAATCGAAAACAGCTACAATTTAACATACTGGTTTTTAGCCTAAATTTATTACCATTAACCGTAGAACTCATTTTAATGAGTACTTTTTTTGTCTTGATTATTTATGTATTTGTTACATACGTACAGTAATCAAACCTTAGGGGTGTGCCGTTTATATACAATATATATACGTGATAGGCATCTGGCCCTTCCTCTCCTAAAAAATTACGTAACAAAAATTTGGACAGCTAATATTATAACTAAATCAATAACTTAACAAATTCATAGTTATCTTTGATCAGTTGACTATTTTGTATGGCATATCTTTAAAATTTTGAAATTCTTCTTCATAAGAAAATTATTATTTTTTTGTTAGTGAAACGTTACGTTCTTAACTCGGTCAGTTGATTTGCATTGGCGTTAGGCAGTCTTCTTTACGAGAATTACCAAACTTGTGTAAATAATGATCTGTTGGTAAAAAGATCGTTGGTGTAATAATACAGATCCTAGGTTTCACAACATTTATATATCGGGGGCGAAAATTCCTTTCATCTTGTTCGTACTAAAATTTGCCTTTCATCTTGTTCATATTAAAACTCGTTTTTCATCTTCTTTGTACTAAATCCGTTTTTTACCTTGTTCACCTTTCATCTTTTTCCTACTAAATTTAACACTTTTTAAAAATGATCAAGTTACCTAATGAATGTTTTTTCGAAATATTTAATAACTTCCGAAATGATTATAAAAACTTATTTTCATGCCTTCTTGTAAATCGTCAATGGTGTAGATTTATTGTACCAATATTATGGAATGAACCTACCGAATGTTTCAATGATAAAAGACTTATAAGAATGTACCTTTTATCATTAAATGCTGAAGAACAAAAGTTATTGATTCCCTTTAAAATTATTCTTCCAAATTATCCAAGACCATTGTTTGAGTACCCAAATTATACCACATCAGTTAGCTTTGATTTGACTGACGGAGTCATAAATTGGCTTAATGATGAAGGATATGGAGTAGATAAGTCTCGTTATTTAATTTTAATTGATGATTATTATGAAAGAGATGAAGACAAGCTAGTAAATGCGGTTAAATGTTCATTAGTTGCAATGTTCCTACGAACAAGTAAAAATCTTAAATATTTAACACTTGACAGAACTATCAATAAAATAATATTTGAAAGTCTTTATATAAACAAAACTATTATTCATTTAAGTCTTTGTTTGGATTATTTTGGTTACGAGGAAATAAAATTATTAACGAAGTTTATTGTTAAAAACATAACTTTAACATCTTTAAATCTTTCTTATAATCAACTCGGTTCTGAGGAGGGGAAAGTGCTTGCAGAATCTCTTTGCATAAACACAACTTTGACTTCTTTAAAGATTTATGAAAATCAACTTGGTTCTGAGGGAGTAAAAGCATTAGCAAAAGCGCTTCGTAAAAATAATACTTTAACATCTTTAGATATTAGCATTAATGATATTGGATTTGAAGGAGGAAAAGCATTAGCAAAGGCACTTTGTAAAAACATTGCTTTGACATCTTTAGACATTAGTAATAATGAAATTAGCTTTAAAGGTGGAAGAGCATTAGCAGAGGCTCTTTGCATAAATACTACATTAACTTTATTAAACATTAGCAATAATGAGATTGGATTTGAAGGAGGAAAAGCATTAGCGGAAGCACTTTGTAAAAATAATTCTTTGACTTCTTTAGACATTAGCAATAATGGGATTGGATTTGAAGGAGGAAAAGCATTAGCGGAAGCACTTCGCAAGAACATTACTTTAAAAGAATTAAATATTTCTTATAATCAACTTGGTTCAGAGGAAGGGAAAGCATTAGCAGAAGCAGTTTGCATTAACACTACCCTAACCTCCTTAAAGATTTATGGAAATCAAATTGGATCCGAAGGAGCAAAAGCTTTAGCAGAGGCACTTTATAAAAACGTTACTTTAACATCTTTAGATATTGGTAGTAATAATATTGGGTTTAGCGGAGGGAAAGCAGTAGCAGAGGCACTTGGTAAAAACATCACTTTGACTTCTTTAGATATTAGTGATAATGAGACTGGTTTTAAAGGAGGAAAAGAATTAGCAGAGGCACTTTACATAAATACTACACTGACTTACTTAAATATTAGCAATAATGAGATTGGTTTTGAAGGAGGAAAAGCATTTGCGGAAGCACTTCACATAAACACTACACTAACTTCCTTAAATCTTTCTTATAATAGGCTTAATTTTAAAGCCGGCAAAGCTTTGGCTGAAGCACTTTGTCAGAATATTACATTAGTTACCTTAAGTTTTTATGGCAATTGCAATATAAACACGTTAAGAGAAGTTTTTCGTACAAACACTACGCTAAAACATTTATATTATTGAAATTATTAATTTATTTCAAGAGAGATAAATTTTAATAAATAAACTAGCCACATTATAAATGTATGCCGTTTATATTTTTTGAAGCTTAAACTAAGTTGTAAAAACTATTAAAATATATTTTTATTTAAATTGAAAAAATTAATATACTTGCAGTAAAACAATGAACGAAAATTAATTAAAACTAGTGTTTATTGTATAATTAATTACTGCAAAGTCACGGAATAACGCCCATGAGCGTTATTTTGGAAATTGACCCTTTTAAAACATCATATTTTAGTTCAAAATAATGTCCATGCGCATCCCGAAATTTGTATATTAGGCTCAAAATTTTGACCCTTTGCTACAAAATAACGCGGCTATGCGCGTTATTTCGCGACTATACGGTATTATTGATCTCAATTCCTAAGACCCTACCAACAATATTTGATTCAAAGTCCATATTTTAAACCTTTTGCTTGATGTTGACCTAGATTGTAATGTTAGCAGTCAAAGCCTAAACTATCAACCGACCAAGTCAGCATTACAAAAATCGGCTCAGTCAGCCTAATCGATTAATAAAATGTCGATCTAGACGCATCTTTGATTAATTAAATAGATCAAAGAAACTCAAGATGCAAGTAAACACGATCGATTCTATTTTTATTAAGAGCCACTAAATTTTTCAAAAAAATAGACCAACTTAGCCAAATAAGTTGCCTAAGCTAACTAACCTTTAATTAACTTACAACACTACTAGATTGTGGTTTAATTTTTTATAAGATGATTTCACTTTATTAAAACTAAAAAAAAAAAAAAGCAAAAAAGATAAAAAGATAAACAAAGATCTGTTATATAATGTATCTTTGATACATTTTAGAAATCATAAATGTATCAGAATCTGTTAAAGATATGTTATCTGAAATTATGCACCTCTAAAATAAGCATCATCACTTTTTGCGTAGTAGTCTGTTTTTGAATGCAGTATATAGTAGAATGCCAGACTTATGCGATTTCAAGGATTTATCATTGTTCAAAATCCTCGAATATCATAAGTCTAGGTATTCTATAGAGGTGAATTTCAGAAATCAATACATTCATATATTTAATACACTGTACTTAATTATAAGTCAATTCTTCAATATTTATAAAACCATTTTAAAAGAGGATTATGTTTAATATGGTATAATTGAAAACATATTTTTAACAGCTAAATATATATATTAAAACTATATAATAGTATATATATATGTAGAAATAGAAACTTATAAGAATAAACTAAGTGCGTGAGGATATAAATTTATAATTAGCACTAAAGGCTATATGAATAAGTATATTTACATATATAGTTATTAATGATCTAAGTTAATTTAAACGTCAATTTTCACTTTATATATTCAGACTCTATATTGAGTTGACTTCGGATCAGAGTAATTGAATTTTTCTTTTCAGTTTTAGTAGTTTATATATACTGTATATATTAGATAGGGTTTTAGGATTTAATTTAGAATAGCTTCTAAAATAGAGCTATGTACCCGAAAATAGCTAATACGTACGTACGTACACAGCAATGATTACATAATCGCCCCAAATTTTTTACTTAATTATATGCTATGTATTAAAATTAAAGCGAGAAAATTAAATCCTTACAATCAAACTATACAAAATATAATATCGGTATCGTATTATATTTCTTCATTTTGAAAAAATTTCAGTTATTAGTGATGCAAACAGGTTACTTGTTCTTGCTTTGATGTATTATGAAATTCGAATATCGGTCATTTCCCTAAATCAGGTAGTGAAATAATCAGTCATAGGCGATCAGTAATTTATTTTTTTTCACAACAATTATGCAAAATGGTCTCGATTTAGGGGTTGAAAATGAAATAATTATCTGAAAAATATTCAATTGGCCACTGTTTACAGTGCTTACAGTATTCCCAAAAATAATACTCTCATCGAGTATTACTCACTATCCTTACACTTTCTTTACCATCTGTCTTGAATAAGTAACTACGTAGATTGATTTACTAATTTTAATTTAATATATCCTCCAAATACAATATCTGGTTCTTCACATAGTACCCACCCAAATTGATTCTAACTCAACTTATAATTTATTATGTGCGAAAACTTATTTATTAATTTCTTGTATCAACATTAGGAATTAAAATAAAAATTAATTATAGTTAGATAATTATCAATTATCATGTTATCTTTGTTAACATTTAAAATTATTGCAGTTTGCAAGTTTGCAGGTAAAAGAAATCGATGATTTCTGATTTTTGATTTCTTTAACATTACTTCTGATGAACTAATATTATCTGTTATACTATATAAAAACTTATATGTACATAATTCTTTTTTTTTTTTTTAACTATCCCATATTGTCTAAATGGCATGTGAGGTGCATGTGGCGCTCTTTATTCCTGCTTTTATTATTGTGAACTACTATGTGAATACACTGTAACAAAGTACATATGTTTTTTATATAGTAATAGTTCTAATCTAATAAAAACTCACTAGATATACCTAAGTACTATCCAATGTGACCTGCTATAACAACTATTAGTCTCACTTGGAATCTAAAACTTGCTTCAGATTTTGTATCATCAAAGAATACCCCTCAATCATTTGACAGATTGTTGCATACCATGTTAGGATTTCTTTTTTCTCTTCTAATTCTTCCTTTTTTTCAAGGGATATGAGACAAAAGGAAGAAATTTTCTGACAAAGAGTAACGAAAATGACCAGAAAAAAAGAAAAAACAGAAAAGAAAAAAGAAACACTAATTGCAAAAAAGAAAAAACATAAAAAGAAATCTAAAACCCTGAAGACACTATTATAACCCATGCATGGCTAATAAAAATTATATAACAAATATAACATTTGTATATCTCTACTGTAAAGCTTTACCTTAACGTTAAATTTACTTTCTGACCTTCTCACCAACTCCAGATAGCTTCGTTGCCTATCTAAATTTGTATTTTGAGCCAGATGCTACTGTTATTTGAAGACCCATGTCTTAAGCCACCTGCTACCATAATTAGAGTTCCTAGGCCGAATCTTGTGAAAAAGCACCATATTCGTCTGTAAACAGACATGTAGTTGTATTCTACTAATCTGTCTGAATTTGGGAAATAAACAATGCCAATCTTTTGAAAAGGGTAAGCCAAATCTCCACTTTTTGTTGAAATTTTTTGGAAAACTGATGGGAGAATAAGAGAAAGTAAAAAGATACCACTTGACTAAGTAAAAAGAGTGTAGCTTAAAAAAAATAACAAG